TCTGAACAAAGGGCAAGAAATCGAGAGGAGAATTGAACTGATTAAAATGGCGTCAAAACCGCCATACGCCAAGCGTCTTATCAAATAACACAAAATTCATTCTTAATAAATACAAATTAACTCGGAAACTATTCAGCTCTCCGCTCACCGTAGTCTGGAATCCAAAATATATGTCCGCTTCAGATGAACGGGTGTTGAAAATTCTCCTTGCACGAGTCCCTTCAAGTCCACGACAGGCCTCGATATCGTCAGAATTTTTCTGATGACACCCAACACTAGAAAAATAGAGTTAGTCTCGCAACGTCCAAACGAGTAGTAGTGTCGAGCCATGCGACACTGACCCATGCGTTCACTAATTCTCCAACCAGCAACGATTCCATTGGTCGGCGATGATGACACCTTCTGACCATTCCCTGATTGGTTCAACCAAACCAATTCAGAACTGACGAGACCGAAATATACTCGTATCATTTTTCCCAGCGACACAAATATACTGTGTTCGCCATAAATTCCATAACAATAAATTTTCAAATGATTTATCATAAAGAATTGATGTCTCACTGGACCTCTAACGTCAGTCCAGTGTTTTCGCAACAAAACATAAGATAAAACACCACTAGCTACGACTAGGTACCTATACCAGTTACCGCTGCTCGGTCGTTCACCATACTGCCTCCAACGCGGGAATCACTCGATCCATTCGAATGTGACGTGCCTTGAATGTGATGCAACTTGACTTCAGGACTCTCTCTCTCTCCAAGGCTCAAATATTCTGTCCAACCCCATGTACATTCCATCTGGGCTCCAAATCCCTCGACGTCATCCGATGAGCAGTAGAATATTGGCTCAATACAATCAGAAATAAAATATTCAACACAAATTCAATAATGAATAAAAAATTTTACTCTCGCCTCGCTGGTAATGTGACTTCTCATCTGGACGTTTCAAATTTTCACCGTTGAACGGTCAAAATAAAAAATAACAAGTTACAACATATGATTATGATTGACTATCTTTCCCTTGAATGCATTCGACCTGTATTCATTTTTTTTCCATCATTTGACCTCGATTCTGCCCTATTTCTTTCCTCTCTTTCAGATTACTCTCATGATCGAGTTTCCTGGATATTCCTATCACGCGACCTGATTTTTAACTCCTCTGAAGACCACAATAATGACGAATGAATTATTTAGAATCAATTCTTATTCTCTTTTGTATTTTCCGTCTGGATTTTCGAAGAGAATATGGATTAAGGGATCCAGATAACTGTAATATAAGTTTTCTTTTAAAACTGATATTTCTGTTGCCCTTAACAGGTTTTCCTGATTGTCAGGACGACAATCTTCTTTCAGAGCAGGGAGTTGTGTTATGATTGACTATCTTTCCCTTGAATGCATTCGCTCTGTATTCATTCTTCTTTATCAATCCTCTGATATCAACACTCTTTTTTGTCTCTAACTTTGATTCTTCCTTGGATCTTTTTTAATGTTCAGACGCATGTATATTTTCTATCGTCCCTATTATTTAATAAAGTTTATTTATTAACCCGTGCGCGTTTCAATATTTTGATTGTTCTAGATAGTGGCGGCCGAGACGAGTATTTTGAAAAAATGAAATCGGTGCAGTTGTCGAGATATTAAGGAAAAACGAAATTTAAACAAGTTGTTATATCTCAGGAACTACTCGACCTATCGGGCTGAAACAACGCACCAAAGTAGAACTTGCTCAGAGCTACCATGAGCCAAAATTTCAAATTTGTATCTAAAAATTTCACCGTATTTATGTTGAATTTTCTAGAAATTAATTCTCCAAAAACCCAAATCTGCACATACATACATACAGACATGACCCTAAAAACATCATTTCTTGACGTTTCACAATATTCTAGACCATTTGCAATGAAAATTAGGAAATCGAAAAATCGACCAAAAACAAAGCTTCCATTCGGAAGCAGAAAACAGCAAACTCGTAATCAATTACCCAAAAAACATGAATTCCAGACATCAGAAATAACGGACTCCGAAATTGATACAGGATCAGGTACAGAGCATAAACTACGGAGCGAGAGACAATTTCGAAAACCCTTCGCACTCACGTTTCCACTCTCTTGTACTCCATTAATGACATCACGCGCAAGTGCATTCAGTCGGAGTGAGGCGGGTGTGAGTGCGAGCAGCGCCGACGTTGGCAGATAGTTCTCTTTCGTACCAGGGGTTCTCCGATAGAGCCTACCTCGAGGGGTAGAAATAGAAAATCGCGTTTAACTTGGTACCTGTTGGAATCACATGAAAATATTTCCTTCAAAAATTGTCGGAAACAGTATAATAAAAATTATAAAAAAATAAAATGCAAAATTCATCGATTAAATAAAAAGTTAGGATCAAATTTGAGTCGTAATTTCGTGTAAATTGATATCAAAGGGGGTGAAAAAATTTGGAGTCGAAGCTAGAACCATTATCAACTATCAACAGGACAAAAAATGAAAAAAATTTTTTTTTTCGTTTTTTCAAACAAAATTTCTCACCCTATGTGTTTGAATGGCTCTGGGGGATGAACAGTACGGGATAGGAGTGGAGTAGTCAGGACCTTTTTCCAGAGAATCTTGCGCTCTACAATTTTGTTCGACAGGTATTACATCGTATCTCGAGCCTTTTTCGAGTTATTTTGAAAAAACACTTTTTTTAGGGAAATTTCCAATTTTTTACACCCTAACCCGGAGGGTGGGTACCGTAATTTACCTAAAATTTTGATGACAGCTCGGTAATTGATTTTTATGCCAAACTGCAGCTTGGCAGCTAGAAACATGCATTTTCGATTTACTTTCACTGGACTATATCGAAAATTTCTTACACACTCTTCATCGATATTCACCGAAGTGATAGTGATTCTAGCAATCCTCTTGGGACTCACCCTTTACTGCTGATGTCGGAAACCATGGCCGGTGCCCAGGAGAGAAACAGCGAACTGCAGAATACCCTAAAAATAGAAACTATTGAATGATAATTGTAAATTGTTAATGTAGAAGAAATTAATTATGTATGGTATCGACGGAGTAGGGTTGCAAGAGAAAATTTCTAAGGGTAGTAATTTTCTTCCCTGGCGGGGATGTTATGCCCCAAAATAACATTATGAAATTCCTCTGTTGATTCGCTTAATATGAGGGCATGAAAGTGGCACATATTATTCGAAACAAAACGGAATGAAGAAATATAAAATACAGTTGAATATTTGCGTTTGAAAAACCACATCTTCGCGCGCGCCTGGAGACGTCACCCGATGCCTCGTAAGAGTGCGATGAAGACAATGACCTGATGCAATCGAATACACGAAGGAATATAAAAACTCGTGAATTCGTTACCTCTTGGCCAGTAATTCGACGACACTTTAATTACCTTCTTTTACTTTCTACTCGCCTGATACCTTCAGTATCAGACCGAGTTCTTATTTATTTAATAAATGGTAAATTGATCGTTTAAAATCATTTCTCAATAAGGATACTTATTTCTGTTATTTATCCACGCGTGATCTATTCCTTTATCGAACCTAACCGATCGGGTCCATTACACACTGCTTCGAAAGTTCTACGGACAAAAATCGAGGTTCGCCGTAATCTGGTCCACCAGAGCAGATGTCGACCCTTCCGCAGCAACTAAATAACTTCTCCAAGCCGATTTCATAATTGCAAACAACTCAATATAGTCAAAAATTAACAAAATTTGGAGACTACCATCAGTCTCTCACTATCACCCAAATAGGAAGTGACACTATTTTCACAATTTCCTTCGTATCTCACATCCAACACGTGGAAGAGCTTCTCGTTGACTCAGGCTCATAATTAATCAAAAATTCTGATTGGACGAAACCAATTAAAAGTCCACCTAAACTCACTGGCACATGCGCAAGAGCAACCAGCTTTTTTTCCATTAACACAATAAATTCAATACGTCAGCAATAGAAAAGTCAACCTCATCGACTTCTTGTAATTCAATAATTGATGCTGCAGATGTATCCTCTGCTAAATCCCTTCAGATGCATCGTAGTAATTGTCTCCCACCATCATCATCGGGCTCGTGATTTCGGAGACGAGACATACATCGTTTCTCATTTCGGCGTCCAGGAGGTGGTGACATCTCCACGGCCAGTAACGCAATCAGATGACGTACGAATGCAGACGAACTCCCAATGACCTCCGAAAATCCCCGGTGACGTAGTATTCCTCCGATGAGCGAGGAAGTGCGTGATTCAATTAAAACAATCAAATAATTTTAAAAAAATCACATAATTCTCTCCCAATGATTCTCGTTGTCGGCTAATGACTTCCCGTCTGGTAATTATTGAACTCTAAATACTGCGGAACGGTCAACATCCGAGCAATTATCCTTGTAACGGATTTGACACATTACAGAATATACCGGTCGAAATAATTTCTTTCATTGTAATGAATAATTGGCTATAAACGGGAAGGGTGGGTGGAGGGGTAGGGAGATACGCTATGCACAAGGTCTGGAATTCGGAGATGAGGAGGAGGTCTCGGTAGCTCAATTGGGTAGAGGACCAGTTCGGCAAACGGCAGATGTGGGATTATACCCCGCCTGAATTCGAATCCATGTGCCTGGGAATTTTTCCATTTGTACAGGGACAGTTATTAAATTGTTTCCCTCATATAGAGGTCAGGAGAGTCGAAGGATATCATATATCCCATAGTATTCCAGTTTCCATGTAATTTATACTTGGAAAACATGTAAGGCTTGATCGAGTAGATAGTCTGGAGATAATGTAGAATACGAAATTTTCTAATTCTTGTTGAATACATTAGTGACACGCATTCCCTTTTTTATTTTGTTATTGAGTCGACTCTTCTGCACTAAAATAAAGTGGTACTCTTTAGTACGAGAATAAATCTATTAGTGTATCCAAAATTGCTGAGATTGAGGGTATATTAGTCGACCATCCTAAACACACAAAATAATTTCAGTTTATCGATTTGTTTCCTGATTTAGACTGACATGAAATGTTACACGGAGGAGATATTTGGCCCTGTTCTCCTGTGTATGTTTGCTACTACCTTGGACGAGGCTATCACCCTTATAAATATGAATCCCTATGGGAACGGGAGCGCCATATTCACAACAAATGGTGCAACAGCAAGGAGTTACGTTCATAGGATCGAAGCAGGCCAAGTAGGCATTAACGTGCCCATTCCAGTTCCCCTGCCTATGTTCAGCTTCACAGGGAATAAGGGATCTTTCTTAGGAGATAATCATTTCTACGGAAAATATGTAAGACTTCTTCATTTTTTAAAAGCCTTCCAATTGGTTTAAGACTGATTGGTGAACGGAGATAAATTCGAAACAAACAAATATCTGGAACCAACCAGTGTTCGAACTTGCTCAGAGATCGACCAAATTTACTTCTTCTTTATCATAGAAAACATGCTAAACCCTCTACCATGAAAAGCGTAAGAAAGCGTAGTATGCCGTCCGAATGAGGAACTGTGAGGCGTCCTACAGGACGCAGAATAGGAATATAAAATTCACTTTGGACAGAGTCTATTTCCGCCGCGGAGTTGGATAAGAAACATCATGGTAGGACCGACTACTCTCGGAGATATCACAGAGGCACCTTCCTCATATAAAAGATATTCATAAAACTGTATCGAAGTTTGTCAACTCTTATCACCTTCAACTCAAGTCCTCGGTAGTAATACGTTCATGGTTAATGCAAAAGAATGGAACTTTTGTCCCCTCCACAAACCAATATAATGTTCATGAATTCAATGAGACCTTGTGAAACATGTGGGGTATTCCAAGTGATATAAATGAGGAAAAACCCGTCACCTAATTCTACATGCTCGAGATTTCTTTCTCGAAATATATTCATCTTAAGATGACCACTGATTTTTTTTGGATTTTTTGGTATATATTGTGAGCAATTATGAATTTTATTTGTTCTTCCATGTACCCTCTCGGGTTTTTACGATTTGTTCCCTTCCCGCCACCAACTTCCTGCAAAGATAAACTTCACTTGAGAAAAAAACCTGGACCAGGTACAGTTGTCCCGTATAAGACTCCCACTCGGGCAATGAATCTGTAAGAGTAAGAGCGTTGAAAAACCATTTTGCACCTTCCCCCGCCGGGAATCAAGCCCGCGTCATCCACGTGCCCAACCCGCGCACGAAACACACAGGCACCGCCGTCGGTTGTTAGTAAGTATGATTTTTTCCTTATTTTCATTCGAAATTACATAACTTACTCAAAAATGAACCGATCGGAATGTTTTTTCAAATGTATGGTTTTAATCGAGTTGTTCATTCCATGCCACAATTATTTTCTTTATGTGCGTCATTATATGGATAATTCGGCAAAAACCTACTAAAATTAATGGTTTTTCAAGTTCAACCTGATTTAAAATTGTCAAAAAATTCAAGACATTGAAAACGATGAACAGTAAGGAAATACCTAAGGAGAAAATGGGCCTCCAATATGTCATAGTGTCGGTCATATTCCTTATGAAAGTCGGTGTCAACTTTTCACGAATTAAATTATATGAACCGAAAATAAAATGTCTCTATGTTCACTATGATAATATGACTATTTTATATTTCAAATTGATTGAGTTCAAATATTACAATTCGTTATAGCTTGACGGACCTATCAATGTATAACCGCAAATGATTTGGATTCTATCACTTCGTGAAAATGATTTCACTTTCAAAATTCTCAATTCTTTTGGAATGACACAGTGATACGTGAGGGTTGCAGGTAGTGGTCTAGCATTCAAGAAACGACTTCTCAAATCTTCGATGGCTTGTTCATATTCCTCTTTAGGGAAATATTCAGCTTTGAGATGAGTGAAGTGTCTTAAAGCACATTCATAAAGTTTATAGGGTTTTGCGAGTTGACGATCGGCAGGAATTTAAAGGCTAGCTCAAGCGGCAGCCCTGTTTAAAGGTCCAACAATGCCAACACACGGTTCTTTATCGTGAGAACTGGCGAAAAAAACTATTCGGTATCAACACCGTGATCCTCTTTATGATAGGGAATGTTGACAAAATACTTGAAGTTTTTAAACTGAGTGCGAGCTCCATCTGAAGAGTAATAGATCTTTACTGGATTAGGATTTATTGATTTTAGGAATTGAATGACCTTCTTGGTTTTCACATGAACTGCCACTGCATCCTGGAGCAAATGATCGGAAATTGTTGTAAGTCTTTTATGAATAACGTTCGATCTCTTATAATAAATGACGATGGTATAAATGGTTGGCGCGTCATTATTGCAATGGAAACCAGGAGCGGCATCTTGCAAAACAAACGCATAATTTTCAGCGAAATCACAAATGAACAAAACTTCTCCAATTTTTCAATCACTTCCTTAACTTCTTAACGTAATCACCTTGCCGTTTTGCGATAAATGTGTGAAGAAAAAGTGCAATCATCTTTTCACAAAACTCACCGGTAAATTCGTCAACATCCTTCGTCACAGTGACTAGAAAGCCGCAAGTCTTAGAAATTCACTGCTTATAAACAATTCTATCAATGCCATTCTCTACCAGTGTGTTGTTGATGAAGGAGTGTATAGTTTCGAAGCTTGGAAAATGCTCACATGTTCTTAAATAAAATTCAGGAATTGCGTCGTCACAAATCATGAAGTCAATGCAATTACTGTAATGGTTCAATAGATAACGTGTGTCACTGGTTAAAGTTTTCAAGTTTGAACCTAGAGACATTGAACAAAGTAGATGGAGAGTAATACCTTCATCCACAACTTTTCTAACTTAATAAAAATTATTAATTGCTAACATACCAAGCATCATCAGTTTGATATTTTGGTGCATTAATTGTGCAAACATACGAGGTATGTGTTTCACTTGATCAGGCAAAAACCAATGCCTCAGGCGTAATATTGCGAATGATGAAGACTTTATTTTATCATTTGGGTTGTGATCTTGAAAAAGATGGAATAACTCTTCCAAAATACAAAGAATTAACCGCTTTTCTAAAATACAAAGGATTAACCGAGACAGAGACAGAGACGGAGACGAAGACAGGGATAGAGACAGAGCCAGAGACACAGACAAAGAAAGAGACAGAGAGAGAGAAAGAGATTGATGGCTTTATTGAGCATTTCTGTGCTACATTTTTACAGTGTTACATTCTTTGCCCCTTTACGGGTTCGTCTTCGCATCACACGTATTTCGGCTGTGCTTCTCTTTCACAAATTTTATCGTTTCTCTTTTGAACGCATCTTTGTTCAGCATCCTCACTCTCTCAGTTAATTCATTATATATTTTCAGGCCTTTGTACAATACGTCATTTTGTCCATAGCTAGTTTTTCTCTTCTCCACATTCACATTTTTACTACTACGCGTTATCATATAGTTTTCGTTCAAACTAATCGTACCTTCTATCTCCTTCTTCGTTACCATCTTATGCACATATTTCAGAACATTTAATTTCACCCTTTACTCAACAGATAAGAAATCTAGTGCTCCCAGCATATCACTGACTCGCACCCGCTTCCTGCAATGCAAAATGCTTTTCATTGCTTGGTTCTGCAATTTTTGCAGCGCTTTTGCGCTGCTATCATTCATCTGGTAAGTTAGCATGCTGCAGTATTCGAAATGAGGAGCAATGATACTTTTATAAACACTATTTCTTGCTATCATACTGATATAGCCGCCTATTCTATTCAACACTCCTATCTTCTTTCCTACTTTTTTTTACTAAATACTCCTGATAGGGTTTGAAAGTTGACTTACAGTCGATTATTATCCCCAAATATTTAATTAGAGACATGTGGAATTTCTTTCCCTTCCACCCTTCATAGCAGAAAGATCTGGACAATGTAAAATCCGCGTTAAACATTCGGCAACTTCCGGACATGATCAACAATCACGGCCAGCACTCCAGATGACCACAGCAGGATGACAGCAACTGCGGGAGCACTGATTCCCGTTACACTGCGGATTCTGCATGTCACACAGGCCCCAAGGAAAGACGCAATACCCGGAAGGCGATCCTGTGGAATGAAAATAGCAGCGATAAACGTATCCCGTACTATCAGCGTGAAACTAAAAATCACGAAGAAACCTGCATGACAGCTAATAGGTTAGGACGACTTCTCGATGCAAACAAATATCACTAATCATGTACAGATGAGTCGGACTGCCCACATCACCAAGGGAAGAGTACCACTAGAGTTATGAGATTTTTCCAGGAAGGGAAAAACCTCATTACTCTGACCATGAATAGTACAAGATCTGACTTTGCCCTCATTATTCGGAGCATGGACGGCGCCTAGATCAACTCTTCATTCAATGTTGAAGTGTTGCCACCAGTGCATTTGAATGTGGGTTGTGATGTGGTTCTATTTTGTTTTCTCTCGTCGAAAATTTGAATTTCATCCCGCCATATCTATATTCATATGTGGACCTCGGACATAAAGGTAGTTTATGCACTGTTTGTGAGGTTATCGGTTTATGTGACAAAAGGGAGATGTATCGAAAATATTGTTTGATCAAGTATTAAATGCCGGTGAATAGTTAAATTCGAAAAGAAAATATTTATTTTTCTCCGAGTGTAACAGAAAATATTTTCATTCCGTGGAAAAAAATTCACTAAATTAAGTGACAGTGCAATACGAACAATTTTGTGATTATTTAGTAAAAACTAGTAGGAGACGGTGGGATTAAATGGACACTTTGAACCCTTTCCAAAATGTTGATGTGTTATTGAAGTGCTGATGAAATAGATTTTTTTTTCAAATTAAAGTACAGTCAGCCCCTTTGTAATAAGCTTAGACTGAGCTCAATCAATAAATTTGTTCCTTGGTTATAAGTATTCAAATAAGAAGTCAGAAGAGTCCATTCCACCCAATGTTTCCCTAATATTTTTAAAAACAAAAAAAAACAAAAACAGATGTTTGCAAAAAGAATTCTTTGTCAACATTTTGTTCGACTATTCCTATAAGAAAATCAGTTTATGTTTCCACGAAATACAATCCATATAGGAATCATCAGAGCAAAAATTGAATGAGGAAATCAATTCAAGTCAGAAAATTGTTAATAGATGATTAAAATTGGAAATTCGGTGGAGAGAATAAATCTGGAGTAGAACTGTTCATTTCCCTTCAATTGTTGACTCAAAAAATGTTCTATCTTATGAAAAATGAATCAGTTATAAATTGAATTGAAAAGAATAAATTTCACCGGATGTAAAAAAAGTCCTTGCTTATTTTGAAAACAAGTGAGGAATTGCTCTGGTATCGGATATGGTATAGCTTTCTTTGCTAATAAATTAGCAATATGCTTCCGAATGGTCACTTCATATATTATTTTCTCTGTCGTATGTAATTCATACTTTTTTCATTTCATTGGATTTCATAATTTTCTTCTCAATTCATTGTGTTGAATTTTCTACTTGAGTAAATTCTACCATGATTATTTTTTCCTATTTTTTATAATTTTTATTTTTCATTTTTATTATGAGCGGAAATTAGTTTTGGTTCTGAAATTCTTATTTCGGATCGTAATGGATTACACTCACTTTAATCCACTCTTATTGGTCGCATTTCAACCTAGAGCCAGCGCAGCGGACTGATACTGATTTCTAATATTTTTCAACAGGTTCATTTTTTCTATAAGCTAGGTTTAGGAATGAAAACTTCAAAATTTCCAAATATCATCATAAAAACCAAATTAATGAAGGCAGTTATCATAACCACCTTTCAACTTAGACTTGCTGGCATCCGAAGGAACATTTTAATCTATTATTGAATCCATTTGAAGCCTAGTCTACAAAGATATCGATAAAATTTGAAAAAAAAACGAATTTTCAAAAAAATTGGAATAACGATTATTCCTATTACCTTCATGTTCGAACTCGGTCACGGGGACATGGAAACAAATTTTT